AGGAAACTGAGGCAGAGGGATGTTACATAAATTTTCCATTGTTATAGTTAGAAAGTGGTTGAGCTGGGAGGCAAATTTAAGCAGTCTAGCTATAACGTCCATTCTATCAAGCACTGCCCAATATAGATTCTGCCAGATTACATGACTGTAGGTCTGGAAAAACTGCAAGAAATAATCTAAATGTACTAGCTGTAATAAAGTAAGTCAACATGATCCCAAGATATAACTTGCATACTAATAACACACAGCTAGAAAACAAAAACTTTACTCACAACAGAGACAAAAAATTAAACAACTGGCCATTAATCCAGCCCAGGATGCAACAGAGTTAAAGAGAAATTTCAAACCTGTGCTCCTGGATGGGAAGACTTCACTATCTTAGTTAGTAGAACTAACAATATGCCTCTTAACATTATATACAGATTATGTTGTATTCTGACCGGTCTGTGCCTTTGTTCCTGCTGTCCCCAGCCCTCTACCTGGAACCTCTCTCCTGGTGCTTCCACTCCTTACTATTTTATCTGATGAGGACCTACTCATCCTTTAAAACCTAGCTTTGAACTCTTCTTTATGTATAATGACTTTAGGAGGTGAAGGGTGCTACCCAGCCATTATGCAGCATGAGAAACATCTGTGTCACTAAAAGGCCATGTGGACAGCATTTAGGAGGGTCAAGGGCACTAACTTCTCAATGCTGCAAATGATTATTTGGTTATGAAAACATTTATGGCTCACTGAATTACTGATCCGTTCTGAGTCTAAATAACGCTCTAAGAATAGATACTTAACACACAAACAACTGCATGAACAAACAAGTGTTTACCCCAATGTGGAAGAGGGCGCTAACAGGCTTGTGGTCACTGGTTTTCAGTTCCATGTGACTCCGGTAATGAAGCTGATTAACGTTAATTCCTCTCCAGAGAATTCGGTCACACCAGGCTGGAACCCGACATTTCCCACTGCAAAAAAAATAAGGAATTAGAATAACATACCACACAAGAACGGAATACCTACCACACTGGTTCAGACCTGAGTTAGGCCCTCTTGTTATCTGCTTCTCCTTCCCTAACGACTCCAGCTATTATCTTCCCTACTATATTGCAAGCTTTGTGAAGGGACTGTGTCTGCTTGTTTGTCACTGCATTCTCAGCCCCCAGCACAGTATCTGATGTAAAGTAGGTGCTCAATGAATAGTTATCTAATGAATGAATAAACGGTGCTCCTAAGATTAGGATTATATCTTCAATAATGTTGCCCCAGGGGAAAACAGAATAGCACCTTCTTAAAATACCCTCAGAAGGACAAGATTATATTCAGAACACTTCCTCTTCATTTGCTCTATCAACAGCAATGATGCTTCACAACAGATAGACAACTAATAAAATCTAAAAATCCAATCCTATATTCCTAGACTGGGCTTAATCACTGGAGATGGGTAATAGTAGAGATTTCTTTAAACCTGTACTTTTATGGATAAGTCGAGCTTTTTCTAATAAAGATGAACTAACACCTAAGCATGCAAGTCTGAACAAATAACAGCCCATAAGAATACCAAGGGGAGGGAAAAAGCCTATTCATCCTTCTATTAAAATAAGCAACACCTGTACACCTGATCCAGACGGTGACACAAATAAAGTTCTTATCAGTAGCTCTTCAGTTGACTCTCAAGTCAGGTGAGTGGAATAAACAAGGCAATGTGCACAAGATCTGTCAGAGTCACTTTTCACTTGCTGAGCAGCTCCCTCGGAGGATGGGACAGGCTCCTCCCCACCCCACCCTGGCGCTCTCTGAGTCTAAAGAAGCTGACTATGCCCAGGCATTCTTTTCTTCTTTCAAACTTCTGGGCTCAGCCAGGTAGGAAACCATAGGAAACGAAGAAATAGTAGGTAGGAGACAAACAGTCACCAGGCACATACTGACAGGGGCACTTTACTAGGGGTGATTGAGAAATCAACAGGCCCCCTAGACAGTGATTCTCAGCTTTCTCCAGCAGTCGTGGAGGTCAGGCCCAGGCACTGGTATTTTTAAAAGTCCGGCAAAAGAGTCTAATGTGAACTCAGGATCGAGAACCACTGTGCTGGAAGAACCTTTCATGGCTCTTTGTTTTCACCTCTGGTATCCTGAGTTAAAGAGTTGAAAAAGAGTTTGGGAAAAGAGCCAGAACAGGGCAACAGGTAAGGAAATAGGGGTAAGATCAGAAGGGCAAAAATCTAAGAAATAAGTCTGCTGAGGTGAGAGAAATAAGGCATCACAGGCAGCTCGTAAAACTTCAACAGCCTGACAGAGCAGTTCACACTCTCCTAAGGTGAGCTCACCTGTGAGCATACACAAATTGAAACCTCTTCTGTAATAGCACTGAGCCATTAGGTTTTTCTATCTGTTTCTGGCAAGAACTAAAAATTTCCCAGCCCTTCATCAATTCAGAGAGACAGAAATAAGATCAGGGCTTAACCTATTCCATGAGGAGGTTCTTGTTTTTTTACCTGGAATCCCATCGGTCTGTTTTAGAATCATACTTATACGTGGGGATAAACTTGATTTCCCCTTCCATGAAGTCAGCAAAAGCTTTTTTCTGTGTGCGCTGAATATTTAGCTAGAGATAGAAAAACATATCATATAAGCAGGGTAACACCATCTTAACAGAAGTGATAATTGGGTTGATCAGCCATTTCTAAGTATCTAAGTTCTGTATCTTTTGCAACTGTCGGAGCACATACATAAAATTTCTGTGCCTTATGAATTAAATTTTGACATTCCAACAGCATCTAAGCTCACCCACAGACAGGATGCTCATATGAGCATGTCACTAATTTTTTATTGCTAATGGTGGTCAGGGTAAAATGGAAAAATGAAACCTGAATAATCATAAGTTCCCTGATGTTAGCACAGATTTTTTTAAATTTATTAAAGTATAGTTGATTTACAATGTTGTGCTAATTTCTGCTGTACAGCAAAGTGACTCAATTATACATATCTATGTACTCTTTTCCATTATGGCTTATCACAGGATACTGAATAGAGTTCTCTGTGCTATACAGTAGGACCTTGTTGTTTATCCATCCTATATATATAACAGTTTGGGCACAGTTTTAATTTTTTAAAAAAGCACACAAATTTTGATTGGATAATTCCAAAAGCCAAATTCAGTGAACAGTTATATTGGGTTGGCCAGAAAGTTCATCCAGGTTTTTCTGTAACAGCTTGTGGAAAACCCGAACGAACTTTTCGGCCAAGCCAATAGATTGTTTTGAAAGTTACCCTCACTCAAATATTTTACCAGAATTACATAAGATTCAGAACTTATTCCAATTGTACCCCCTTTGGAGGCAGGACAGAGGAAGAAACGCAAAGTTAGCCAGCCAACCTCAATGTGAAGGTAGACACAGCCAAGAAAGGCTCACTGTAAAAACCATTCTGCTGCAAAACACCGGAATTTTGACTATGACTGAAGGTCAAAAGTCTCACGTTAGGATTTAAAGACATTCAAATCAAGTTGAAACATTTTCTTCCCTCAGTAAGAAGCATTCACTTTTAGCAGCCAGAATCCATATGCTAAAGTAAAAATTCAAGTCCTGTGCCAGGCTCCAAGGCAAATTTACAGAAAACTAGGTTCCTCAATATCGTTTTATATAAATGTTACCATATCAGTGCTTCTCACACAGGTTTTAACATCTATAAACTAGCAAGCCCCAACTTCTCAATCAGTTCCCATTAGACCACAGTCTGCTATTTTCCCCAAACTTCTCTTCTGTGCCTCCCAATCCCCTCACAGGGCCTCCCTCTTTTACCTCCAAGCTGTTGCTGAGCCTGCCAAGTAATCATAGAGCAGCTTTCCCTGTTTCATCTGCCAAACCACATCAACATAGCTGAAGGCCCACTTCCTCCAGGAAGTGTTCTCCAATTAACCCCACCCATTCTCCAACTCATTTATACAAATCTCTGAAATCCCTTCTTGGTAAAGACTTAATGAATAAATGTTATATTGACTTTTTATCACTAACGTTATCTCTTCTCCTCCCATCCAAGCACTTAATAAAAGCACTACAAACCTTGTGTGTACTCACTGCACCACTAGTCACAATGTTTTCCCCAGACAGTGAGACCTTTCCATCTACTTCTAGAGTAAGACACAAGTCCCATGGGTCTAACTCATAAACCTAACAATTTTATCTGCTGTCTAGGAAAGTACCTTTTAAAATAAAATTTGATTACCTGGTCCAATTTCAAGAGTCTCTGAAGGTCATTCTTATTAATAAGACTCTTCACTTCATTGGCATCAGGCATGCAAAGTCTGTAGTTCAAATCTCCCAACCAGATGACAACACTGAGGATAAAGAAATACATGAACAGAAATAGCAGCAATGAGCATAAAAATCAATCAGAGGAGAATGGAGAGAAGGAAAATGGGGAGGTTATTGGTAAGCATTCATTTATCACTATCTGACTAGGGGTTTAAGATATAACTATCCTTTGGGGGCGAGTACTATCAACATCTGAGAGGGGTGAGGGATTACAAAATAGGCAGGAGGACGGGCCTGCACACATGAGGAACAAAGACAGGGAAATACGGTGTATGTGTGGGACTCAGAAACCAAGGAGTTAACTCCTTGAGAGAAGCATGTAGTTTATTTGCTGGACTAGCTTCAAAATTTCACCTGGCTACTTGCCAGGTCTCTAGGGGAAGAGAATCTGAACGTTTTCTGCCTCTCTGAGCCCTGATGTTCTGCAGGCTCTCCACTTGGGTCCGCATGGTCTGAATGACAGCTTTCTTGGGCAGGGCCCACTAGCAAATGTAGGTCCAGGGCTTTCTGCTGCAGCCAGTCTGTCTACCCCTGCCCCAGAACCGCAGTCCAAGTCCCAGGCAGGCTCAGGCTCCCAACCACAGCAACAGACCCCCAGGTGTGCTGAGAGCCGCCCAGGGGAGACCCTGAAATTCCCACACCAAAATGGGTTCTCTTGTGAGTTATCTCAAGTTCCAAATGGATCTCTTTGCCAATCTTTAAGGTCCTGGGTAAATAAATTTATGGAATTTCGGGGTAATTTTATGATTACTGATGTCAAGGCCTTGTTTTACCACTGTGAAACAGAATTCTATATGATCCTAATTGTTGAGACAATATGGAAAGAGGCCAACATCACCACCTTTCCCTACTCTTTCCTCAATTACCCCACTCTCTACTGATCCTAATACCCCCAAATTGTCTTTTGTTTTCCTACTAATTCACATCTCAAACCACTATTCCAAATCTCATCACCCTCTCAGAATTTCAATTACTACTATTCATTTCCCTACAACTAACCATTTTCTACTAACAATCCATTCCTCAACTGATTTTTGTTTCTATCCTTATTAAGTCCCATTCTTCACTAACCTTTCACATTATCCATTGGTGTCTTTAAATCTCCACAGCCCCTTTTCTTAATGATTCACAGCCAGTAAAAAGAATAATGTAGATCTATATTTACTGGCTTGGAAAGAGATTCACAATAAATAGGATAATACAGTCCTATATAATGAGTATGTGTGTGTTTGTGTGTGCATAGAGAAAAGTCTACAATAGCACTATTCAGAACAGATAGGGACTTCCCTGGTGGGGCAGTGGTTAAGAATCTGCCTGCCAATGGAGGGGACTCGGGTTCGATCCCTGGTCCGGGAAGATCCCACATGCCGCGGAGCAACTAAGCCTGTGCGCCACAACTACTGAGCCTGCGCTCTAGAGCCTGCAAGCCACAACTACTGAGCCTACGTGCCACAACTACTGAAGCCTGTGTGCCTAAAGCCCGTGCTCTGCAACAAAAGAAGCCACCGCAATGAGAAGCCCGTGCACCACAATGAAGAGTAGCCTCTGCTCGCCGCAACTAGAGAAAGCCTGTATGCAGCAACGAAGACCCAACACAGCCAAAAATAAAACTAAATTAAATAATTAATTTAAAAAAAAACAGAAGACATAGGACGCACATAAGAAATGTAATTTTCAATTGTCTAGTAGCTGAATATAAAAAGTAAAAGAAACAAATGAAAATAACTTTAACAACAAATTCCAGGGCTTCCCTGGTGGCACAGTGGTTTAGAATCCACCTGCCAATGAAGGGGACACGGGTTCAAGCCCTGGTCCAGGAAGATCCCACATGCTGCAGAGCAACTAAGCCCGTGTGTCACAACTACTGAGCCTGCGCTCTAGAGCCTGTGAGCCACAACTACTGAGCCCGTGTGCCACAACTACTGAGGCTCGCACGCCTAGAGCCCGTGCTCCGCAACAAGAGAAGCCACCACAATGAGAAGCCCATGTGCCACAACGAAGAGTAGCCCCCGCTCGTCGCAACTAGAGAAAGCCCGTGCACAGCAATGAAGACCCAACTCAGCCAAAAATAAATAAAAAAAAACAAAAAAACCCCAATGCCCTCTTTAAAAAAAACCCAAATCCCATTTAACTCAATATATGCAAACTTTTGTTATTTCAACATGTAATCAATACTTAAAAAGTTGAGATATTTTACATTTTTTCCCTACTAAGTTCAGTGTATATGCTCACAGCACATCTCAATTTGGACTAGCTACTTTCAAGTGCCCAACAGCCACCTATGGCTACTGGCTGTCATAATGGACAGCACAGATCTGGAAGGATACACACTGAATTGTCCACAGTGTTTTTCTTCGGAAGGAGGGACTGGCTGGGGAGAGCAGAGGTAAGAAATGAGGGATTTTTTACTTTTACCTTTTATTACATTCACAATGAACATTTCTATTTTATAATAAAAAATAATAAAAACTGATGTCAACTGACAGACCCCCCTCTACCATTACTCTAGATGCCCACTAACAGAACTAACCTTTCCTCTGATAGCAAATCTAATTCCTCTGACTCAATGCATCTGCTATTCCTCACACCCGCCCCCTTCTTCGTGACCCCAATCCCTAAACAATAATCTCTTCACTCTTCACATTTCTATAGCTTCTCACCACGTTTAGTCTCTTCTCACCTCCACTATTCAAAGGCTAAGGAAGACTTAACCACTCACTCATGTTTCATGATGTTCAGCTGTGGGAGGGTCTGATTTGGGACCACAAAACTCATTCGTGCGCAGATGTCCTTATAATCCTGATTCCTTCTCTCAAAGTCCTCCACGTGGGCAGCCAAGTGGGAATTGACAACGCAAAAGGTAGTGTTGTGAAATACAAATCTCACAGCTACCCCACCTTTGTTTCCCTGTTAGCAAGAGTAATTATCCACAGTTAGTACAAAGATGCAACTAGCACCTGAACTTCACATGGACATAAATCATAATTGAGCTCATTTCCAAAGTAACTCACCATCTTCCCCATGATTCCAGTCCCAACTGTTTCTGTAGCAACATCACGGATATATCGCCACTGGTCCTTTCTGGCAAATATCAGGAGCATCATCCCAACGAGGCGGACCAGTTGAACCTATGAGTTGCAGGGAATTAGAAGAGGTTCATGTTAATACCACTCTTTGCCACATATCGAATTCCCACAACTAATTTTCCACCAAGAAGATATAACCATGCCCTAATCTGAATCCAAATCCTCTAATTTCCCAGTGGGCCTCATAAACAGAAAACAAAATTTCTCTGGGAAAGCTTTAATCTGGCTCTGACCAGTAGGAGTTAAAAGTCTTTGGAGACAACGAGTACACTCAGCTCTAGATTCATTATTTTAATCACTTTTTAGCCTACCGTGAGTAGGCAGCATTAAAAATTCGAATAATAATGACAAAGCCTCTATCCCAGCTTGTTCCTTTTGCCTCTTCTTCCCAGTTTCTGATTTACAATTTCCTAAGAAATTAAAATGTATAACAATCCTTTTTACTTTTAAGTCTGTGAACTAGAAATATGTCTGAAATGTGTATTAGTCTATATGAGAGGAATAACATCTTCAGGAGTCTTATCACCTATATCAGCTGTTAGAAGATGCAGATGAAAATTACTTAGACAAATGACTCCTTTTAAAGGGCTTGGTATGGTAGCCCCATAATTAAAATAACTCTTCTGGTAGCCTCTACCATGTGCCTTCTAGAGACCAACAAATTGGCCCACCTTGCTAAAGTCAACTCTATTCTTGACTTACAACCAAATTTCGAGCTCATTGAAATTCCACAACGCTCCTATTCTTGCTCCAATTCCAAAGCTTGCCCTATGCACCCACATGCTTCAAACTGCTTTTCTGTAAAGCATCTAGCTCTGACCATGTCAGCGAACAATTCCAATCTTGAACTCTCACTGCAAAAATCACTTACCTTATGTGTCATCATTTGAGTTAATTACTGCTATGAGGACAATAAAATTCTTCTTTTCTCCTAAAAACTACCTAAGCAATGAAACTATAAGATCGGGAAACTTAGGGAATTTTTTTTCTAGGAAATAGGAATAAAAAGGATTAGTCTGCCCTATTCCAGTATTACACATGGGGAAGAATTCAATTAAACCACTCTTTTGGAACAAGCTATAGATAACAGAGTAACTTCTAGTGAGTTTTATTTAGTTGTATACTAAAAAAGATAATTCAATGCGGCTTACTTTCTTATACTTGGCTTTGGAATGCAAACCCCTCTCCACAGCCAAGGACCACTCTTGTTCCTTCACAGATTCAAAGTAGAAAAAGGCTTCTGTGCTCAAGTCCAGCTCTTGGAATCTGAGAAAACAAGAGGATGTCGTATCTACACACATCCCATAATTATCTCTGACTACCTCCTGTCCCATTTTCTGAGACATTAGATGAAACAATGCGGAAAAGATAAATTTTAGAGAACTGCTCTATTGACTCAGGTGATCAGTAAGGACAAGTAGTTTTCTTTTCAAAAGACTCCCCGCCACAGGTATATGCACAGGCTATGCAAAACACAAACAAAAAAACCTCCATAAGGGATAACAGTAGAGCTTTGCTTATATATCCTAGAAATAGTCACTGTTAGAATTAACCTCAAATCTCAGTTTCTATGAAGTATATAGTTTTCTATGGGTTTTGAGAGGATTAGATGCTTCCTTACACCAATTTAGGTATCTTTTCCTTTATGATCTCACAAATTTGACCCACAAGTTAACTCTCACATATAGTCTACAGTAGGTTTTTACAAATGGTGGGGGAAAAAAAAGCAAAATGTCACATCAACTAACACCAAACATACAGCCAAAATGAAATTCCAGACGCGCATTTTACCCAATGCAGTAGATATCAGGAGGATTCGGATCACAGTTCAGCCAAGGTTCTAGCCCACTATCTGGAGACTGGCCATTCACGTTCCATGTTCCAACAAAGAATCTAATACATGATACCAAAAAATAATTTAAAAACAAAGGTCAAGTGTGGATGGTCACAATAAGCAACATAATTTCTCAAACTGTTTTGCCACACACACACACAAAACCCTCTTGCGTGTAGGAGACAAAGGCAGTGGGCTTATTCTCTCCAAATTTTACATCAGGTAAACCTACAGAAAGGAACCAAGTCTCTATTTAAAAGACACAAATTTAATTGCTCTACCACATTTCCTTTCTATTACATTCCATCCAAACTCATATCTGAAGGGAGAGCTTGTGGATGGGAAAGAGGTATCTTCATGCTATAAGGATGTCTAACATGGATAACTATTCCATAAGGAGTTGTAGTTAAATCCAAAAACTCACTTCCCGAAGGATTACAAGGACATCTGTGTAGGAAATTCTGTTGAGACAGATATAGTATTAAGGGGGAAAGCAGAAGGGAAAACTCATGACTGTCTTAACTGTTTACATACAAATATAAGCATCACGGGAAATCTGAAGATCTGGAGGTTTCAGCATAGGGATATAGTCATGACTGAATTAGAATAAATGAGGCATAATGGGATAGCAGATGGGACTGGAATCTTGGACTAAAAGGGTACATGCTCTTCGAAAATAACAAAGAAAAGCGTTGCTGCTTTGAACATCGGGATACACGACACACACCACACGTAGTGAGTCCAGAAAAGAGGATATCACCAAGATGAAATGAAAAATATAATAGAGGAAAGAATCGAAGATAGACCTCCCAATCAAGATGCTTGGGTGAAACTTCCTTCAGTTAACTTCCCAAAGTAGGTAAATTAAAGTCTAGTGGTAATGGCGGACTTAATTTTCCAATATTGGCAAGAAGAAATTCAGCAGGTCAGATAGATAAACACACTTGCTTATGGAATGTACTAGGAGACAATTCTCTAGTACTTGTGAGCTTGACTTGGTTCTCTAAGAGTGGATAGAAAGGTTAGTAGAGGTGGTATCATTAGGGAAATTGTAGCACTTGCATTATTTTGGATATGTATGTTATTGACCAGCATAAAGACAGGAGCTTGAATCAGCTCACCATTCTTTTCTTTATGCTTTTATTCTGAATTAAGCTAATTAAACTAATACCTTAAATACCCAAAGACCATTTTTTCCTATATGTACTAACGTTTAGCCTCAGTAAGTAGAAGAGAGACTAACCTGAAAGTCTGAATGTTGACATATTCTTTCTCTCGCTTTGCCAGGATGTGTTTGATGAGACCCTCCCGCTGCCCAGACTGGGTGTTTGGTACAAAGAGCTTCCGCATGGTATTGGTCACTTTGGGCTGTTCCTTGTTAGAAGCTTCCTTTTCACGTGGAAGCCTAGCAAATAAATGAGGAATTCAAAAGTGAGATTGCCTTAAACAATTCCCATGTGTGTCTCACACGTGGGAAATCTGTTTCAACATAGGACTTACATTCTATTCACTGAAGACGGTCGGGGTGGCGGTTCCCGATGAACCCCTGTAGGCTGATTCTGCAAATTTATTTTCTTGTCCAAATTCAAAGATGAAAAATTATCCTCAAATCCAAGAAGCCCTGAAGGACACAGAACCCAGAGTGGAAGGGGGGAGAGATAACATCCAATTTATCCAGGATTGATAGGACTTTGCTTTGATCAGCGGTTTTGGTTTGATCACTATTTGCTCAGTGGCGTTACCAAACAGAAAGGTATAAGAGTAGTGATAACGTAGATTGGGGGAAGAAACACATCTGTCCCTGAAGCACTGACATATTAACTAGAATGACAGTAAGTTACGTTAACTTGGAATGTGAATAATAAGAGCTAGTCTTTATAGAAGACTTTTAGCACAATGCCTGGTTGATAGTAAGGAGCTATATCATTATCTCACTTAATTGTCACAAAGACCTCATGAGGTAGGTGCTATTAAAAATCTTCCTATGTTACAGAAAAAGAAACAGAAGCTCAGAGTTGTCAAAGTAATTGGACCAAGGTCATGTAACTAGTAAGTCAGAGAACGGGGATTCAAACCCAGGTAGTCTGGCTCCAGAGCCTGCACTTTTTACCCCTCTGCTAAGCTGGCACTGAAAGAGCTAATGTGCCACAGAAAGGATCAGGAGTGAACGTGAGTCAGTGGGTACGGACTTGATAAAACCACTCCATAGGAGAAGGTATCTGACACTGACATTAATCCACATTATCTTATCTGCCCAGATAAAATCTATTGACTCTGCAATAATCATGGCAACCAGGGAAAAAAAGAATCTTTTCAGTACCTGAAAAAACAGAAGAGTTGTCCTCAGTGTCTAATTTCTGGTACCAGCTGGATGAGTCCTTCTGCTCTGGAACAAGAAGTTGTGACTGCGCTGGAGAGATAAGGGTCATAGTCAGAATGGAATGACTATTCCATTGAATGGAATATACCATAACCAAAGGCCATTCACTCAGCACTCAAGTGCAGGGGCCAGCGCCATTCTTGAATACAAAGGAAGAGACTAAGAAAATGAGGGCAGCTCTGGGATCATCTGGGACCAGAGGAGGATTACAGTCTGCAGTAAGCTGTCCAAGGAATGAAACTGAAGATTCTGGAAATTGACTCAGTGTCCTTAAAGCTGAATAGACTTATTCCCTAACCTATCCCTGGGGCCATCCCTGAAGAAAAAAAAAATCGCCTATCAAGGCTCTAGGGGTGAGGTACTTTGCTAATGGCCACTTGCCTCTGTACAGCATGTCCCATGCAAGTAGTAGAAAGAAAACTGCTGAGGCTTGAGTTACCTTCCTGAGCAGCAAGGACCTCTGAGAGGAACTTCAGACAGCGTTCCTCATCAGGGATTTCAAAGCGGCGCTCTCTGGTCCAGTCCCCCTGAATCCGAATTTTGCAGCCACCTAAAAAGAATGGAAATCCATGTACATATAGCTATGGAAAATAATGTTTTCTTGGGATATTTTCAACTTACCAATTTAATAGGAGAAGGTCCAGATTGCAAATATTCCAGACCTCTAACGTGTGAAGCATGCCTATAAGATCAAGGGATTGGGTGTGGTGGTGGTGCTGGGGGTGATGCACAGAGGAAAATCTAATGAAGGCTGATAAACTGTGTAAATGAGCAGCCCAATATAGTGATATGATATGTACTGAAATCACAGTTTCCTACTTTCTGATATATTGCTCAAATGTCACTGTAGGAACCTCCAAAATCTAGCAGAAGATCAATTCCTCAACCACCCTCCTCCCATCTCCTAGCTGGAAATTCCTACCACTTCAAATCCAAATCATATAGTAAGAGTCTCTGAAGAGTGAAGGGAAAAAAGGAAATATGATGGTTTGTTCCTAGGTACAGACTGTACCCAGGCAATTGAACTTATAAGCTAATTAAAAAAGAAAAGCATAATGGGATTGGTTTGAATTATTCTGAAAAGAAGCATCTATACCTCATTTACCTCAAGTGAAAAATGTATGTCTTGAATAAACTCATAAAAACAATATAATGACCCATGTCCAGGAGTGGTCTGGTTCAAGTACAGTCAGTTGGAAAACAGTATAATTAGAAGCAAAGTTATCTGGGACTTTAGTTTCTTATGTATATAACATACTGTCTCCCTTTTCTAATGCCCTCTATTTACCATCAATTGTCTGGATATGGTGACCCAGGAAACCCATGTCCTTGTTTACATTCTTATTTTAGCTGATTTATTACATTTATTGCTTTCTCATGGCCCTGGAAACTATAAGCTCCTTAAGGGCAAGAGGCAGGCTGCACATACCGGTTATCCAACACAACACTCTCAATGGTCTCCCGGGGTTGTTTGGGACGGAGGGGCTTCTCAGGACTCCAGACTTCGAAAGCTAAGACTGGGAAAGTCCCAGGCAAACTGGGCTCATCGGTCACTTTATTGATAACAATGACGTCAGACTTCACAGACAGAAGGCATTTAATGACTACCAAGCTGGACTCTTTCACACTTGTAAATAACAAAGAGGTGAGAAAATAAAATGAAAATCCTAGTTTCTTATGGTAGAAATCCACTTCTGAACCTTTGACTCTCTCTTTCTTTGCATTTCTTTAAGTTTCTGTATTCACAGATATTTAGTGATCAGAAGAAAAGAGATAAACATAGAGGAAAAAAATGAAAAAGAAGGCACCCAAGAGGACCGCCAATAAGAAAATTAACGGGGGTGCCACTGTAAGGTGGAGAAAAAAAGAGGGGGCATGAATAAGGACTGTCAATTAGAGCAGCCTTGAAGATACGATGGGAAAACCTCCTTCAGGGCACAAGTAGTCCTCTCTTTCTCAGATAATTTATATTAAAAGTAGAAAAAAATTAAAAAAGAGCAGTTCCTACCTGATATAGACTTAGAGCAAGAACACACATTCTCTCTGTCCCACAATCCTTGAAGATATATTTTAGCAAATATAAAAAATAAACTGACCCATTTAACGGACAAAAGATTCCAGAAATTGCTTTACAAAGTAACACTAGATGCTCTCTCACCATGTTGCATGGGAAACAGGACAAATTACCCCCACCACCCAACCTTCTACTCTCCTCCCTTCCAGCCCCTCTGGCCTCTTTGTGATCAGCAAACACTCCTCTATCTTCAATTTCTCCTCTGAATACTCCCTGCATCTCTCAGTAGTTCTCAACTAAGCATGCATTAGAATTACCAGAGGCGCTTTTAGGAAATACTGACACTTGGGGCCCCATCCCAGGCCAAGAAAACAGAATCTCTGGGGGTGAAGCCCAGGCACTGGGAGTTTCTAAAACACTCCTCCAGGTGCTCTAGTGTATCCAGACTGAAAATCAGAGTCACCTGCAAACTGGCTGGGCCCTGAGACTAGCTCCCGCTGCGGCCCTCTGAACTAGAGGCTATTTATAGCCTTTCACACCCTATGTAATTTAAGACTGATGTCCTTATTTGTCCTAATGCCATCTCCAGACCATTCCCTCTCCTCCTCCCTCATGAAAAATCCCTTCTCCTTTGAGGCTCACCCACTGGGCTATGCCAGCTTCTTCCCTTCCCTCCTCCATGGAATCATGTACCAACTTCCCAGAAACTTCCAAATCCAGGCCTGATTAAGACTTCCTCTCCACTCACAGCCCTGCTTTAACTTTGCGTCCCTGAAAAATTAGCACAGAAAGCTCAGTCAACACCTTCAACTTCCTCATCCAACGACCTCGCCCCTCCACCTCAGCCACCTACTCCCTCAGTCCCTACTGGGGCTGCCTCAGTTCTACCCTGGACCTTTCATCACAGAAACACCATCACCTCATAAATCTCTAATTCAAATATCCCACTCTGAACTGTTACTCCTTCCAGCTTACCTGCTCTTATGGGGACCTCCAGCGCACTGATCCCTCCACTTTCTCAGTATCCATTCACTTCCTCCTGCTTTCACTTCCCTTTTTATCAAACAGATGCCATCATTTCACTCTGTTGCAAAAACCTAGAGCTGCCTTACCACTCTCACTCTGTTTTGGCTAACACCTATCTGGCTAACTCCCAACCCTCAGAAATCAAACTAACTGCCTTCTCTGTACTTACGTCTGAGGGAGTAAAACCACCCACCCACACACGCACGCACGCACATGCACACACACACACACGCACACACACACACACGCACACATACACACACACACACACATACGCACACACATGCATACACACACACACACACACACACAGCCCATTATAAATTGACTGCTAATCTCAACGGGGCCCTATATGATAGGAAGCAATCTAAGTTTCCATAGTCCACTTGTCTCCCACTACTATTTGGAACCACTATTCACACCTTCTCATTTATCCTCAATCTTTGGATCCCCCTCTTCTCAAGCTCTCTTCTTCATACTTTATGGGCTTTACCTCATACCTCAGAGGAAACGGAAGCCATCACATGGAAACCTACCTGTATCTGTACTCATCTTCTCCTTTCTCTTCTGATGCACAAAGGAGGAGTCCTCCTATCAAAGGCCATCTTCTTTTTGAATTTTCTCTAGACACCTCCCCCAAGTAGCTTTAACCTCTTCCTCACACAGGCTCCTTCTCATCAGCATTAAAATAAATCATGTTCTAAATCCTCCTCATTTAAAAAACAAAAAACCTTCCTGGACCCCATATCTTCCTCCAACTCCGGTCCACCTCTACATTCCCCCTTTGCAGTCAAGCTTTAAAAGACACACAGTTGCTACCTGCTCACCTGCCATTTCTCTCTTTAATCCACTCCAATATGACTTTGGCTCCCACCACCCCTCTGAAATTGCTTTGTTAAGGTCACCAATAATCTCCATATTGCTAAATCCAATGGATACTCTTCAGTCATCTTATCAGACCTAGCCTCAGAAATCAACACTTGACCCCTCCTTGAAATAGTCTCTTCCAAAGGCTTCTATGACACCATGCTCATCTAGTTTATCTCTCTCTTTGGTCACTAATTTTAAGTGCCCTTTGAAGCATCTCCTCCTCTATATGAACTTTAAAAAGTAGAGTGAGTTCAATCTTAAACCTTTTTCTCACTGTGTATCAGCACTGTCCAATAGGACTTTCTGTGATGATGGACGTGTTCTTTAACTGCACTGTCCAATATGGTAACCAATGACCCCATGTGGCTAAGGAGTACTTGAAATGTGACTAGTGCTGAGGAACTGAGAAACTGATTTTCTAATTTCGTTCTAACTAATTTAAATAGGCACACACGACTAGTGGCTATGGTATCTGAGAGCACAGCTCTATATACAGTCACATCATCTCTCATGGTTTCAAATACCCTCTATGTGCTAGAGAACCAGACTTTACTTCTGAGCTTCAGATGCATACATTCAACTGCCAATTTATCACCTACACTCAGATGTCTCAAAGAAATCTCAAAGTAAACATAGCTAAAACTGAGTTTGTGACCCCTACCCCAGGAAAACTCATTCCTCCTGCAATGTTCTTATTTCTGCAAATGGTACCACCATCCACATTCATGCCAGAAATCTCGAATTCATCCTTGACACTTCAGCTCACCCCTACACCCACACCAACCTCTGTTGATTTAACCTCCAAAAACATTTATCAGATCTGTCCACTTCTCTCCATTCTTACTCTCTAGCTTAAACTACTGAAGGAGGCTCCTAACTGGCACCCAAACACAGGCATAAAATCCTTCATATTCTTTCAATTTTTAAAAATCTGTAAATCCAGATTCCTTATCATGGCTTACAAGACCCTACTGGATCTGGTCCTAGCCTGTCCTACCTTGGTGCCTGAGCCTTATTTCAGGCATCCTGGCCTTCTTTCATTTCAAAGAAAGTGTCAAGCTACTTCCCAAATTGGGGCCTTTTCACATGCAGTTCCTTTTACCTGGAATACTCTTCCCCATTTTCACCTGTCTCTTACTTATCCCCTCTGGTCTCAATTTAAATGTCACTTCTTCAAAGAGGCCTTCCCTGAGTATTCTGCCTAATTTAGTTAGCACTCTTATAAACTCTCTGTATTTCTCCTTGATAGCATTTATCAAAAACTGCAATTATGGGGAATTCCCTGGCAGTCCAGTGATTAGGATCCTGGGCTTCCACTGCAGAGGGCCTGGGTTTGATCCCTGGTCAGGAAACTGAAATCCCACAAACCACGCGGTGTGGCCAAAAAAAACCCCACCAAAACAAACCAAAAAAACCCCCCTGCAATTATACGACTATACCTTCTCAGTTTAAATTCCGTTTCCTTCACTAAGTTTCATGAAGTACCATGCCTATATTGCTTTCTGCTATATCCCCAGAACACAGCGCCTGGCACATGAAAGGTATTCACATGTTTATGGAACGCATTAATGGATTACAGGCATCTACGTGACACTAGCATCAAACAGCACAGAAGCAAGAACCAAGGCTGGAGGAGCAAC